TGTCTAATAACCTAAACCTTGAATATAACAGTTAAACCGAAAATCAAAATGGGCAACTAATTAAATATTTTTCTTTACCGTATATTAATAATCTTACATACAAACTCATGAATGTATTTAAACAATTTAATAACATTAAAATTGTCTTTCTTCAAATACAGGATTTTCAGACCGGAGACACATTTTTGTCTGAACATGAAAAATCGGCGATTCACATGAGAGCCTTTAAATCATGGAGTGAAATGCATCAACGTTTACGTTTAGGTAAAACAATAGACGCAGAAAATCTCAAAACTATTCAAAACGAAGCAAAACGTTGGACCGAAGTCTTTAAAAGATTAATAATTGCTGTGATCCAATTTTTGGCTTATTAGCGTATATTTGGCTTATTAGCGCATATTACCCAATTCAAGGACAAAATCTGAAATAGAAGACTATTTTCAGTATATATATACAGGGTGTCCCAGAAATAAGTGCAGATATTTTAACTGGTAGTATAGTTCAACCCCAGAAACACGCCTACGAGGTTTTTTTTGCGAAAAAAAAAATGTTGAAAATTTAAAATTTTTCTTGATATTTTCCGGGAAATTTGAAAAAACTTTTTAGTGCCACTTGTTTATTCACCTGAGATTTCTCTACGGTGTATCTAAACCATGCAGTGTTGTAACCTCCTATGTTATCCACATTCTACATAGTTCTACATTTATAAATTCATAGAAAAATTTCTACTCAAAAATTAAGAATGTTAAATTTTCATCAGTGCTCATTATTAATAATTATTATAGAAAAAAAACACATTAATTATTTTTAGTACTTACCCTTTCAATGAAAACTTAACAAAAACCACCGAAAATTAACTAAAACATTACGTTTATGACGTTTACGAAAATGATTCATTATATTATTCACAACCAGGTCACAAAAAAGAAATTCCTAAAATGTTTATCGTAATTTAGAATTCAATATTTGTTTTCTTTCATGTTTCTCTGTTTTATTTGAACCACTGATTTACAAAACACCTTGAAAAGCGCACATTACTTTGAATACCTCTCTTATCGCTACTTTACGAACTACTTTCAATTTAAGACATGTTTCACTCAACAATTTTAAATACGTATTTTGTTTTTTCGCTATTTTTTCGATGTATTTTGACAGCCCGACCGTCGCGCGTCGGCCAAGAGTGCCACGTGTGAACTGGTCCTTTGAGCCGCGCCGTCGTGGCAGGCTTGCGTCAGACGACGATGTTAAGCAACGTTGCAGTAGTTACAACAATTTCAAGTTCAAGAGATTCGAAGCAATCAAATTTGTATTAAATTTTAAAAATAAAACAGAGAAACATGAAAGGAAACAAACAAAACGAAAATGATTTGATTATTCATCGGGCTGTTTTCGATATATTGAATTCTGAATTACGATAAACAATTTAGAAATTTCTTTTTTGTGACCTTATCAATTATCAATTCATTTGTGTTTTGTTTGTTTCCTTTCATGTTTTTCTGTTTTATTTTTAAAATTTAATAAGAATTTGATTGCTTCGAGTGTCTTGAATTTGAAATTGTTGAAACTACGGCAACCTCGCATGACGCAAGCTCGACACGCCGGCGCGACAAAGAAGCAGTGAGCCAGTGCCTTCTATTATAAGATCAGCCTACGGGCGAGATTTATGACGTCACGCTAGTTAGATATAACGGATTAATAAATATGTTGTAGAATACATGGAAAACATAATTATTCCTCAGATTTTTGGTTTGTATTTTAAAAATGATATAGTTTAAATGAAATATACATAATATACAGTTAATAATTACAACATATATACCTATTTATAGTAATAAATACTTTGGCAAATAAACTATGAACCATACAAATGCAGCAAATGTTTTACAATGTACAAATAATGTATAGGTACATAAGATAATGGGTAAAATGTAAATATATTTTAAATTTTGGGGTTTGAAAATCGATCTAAATTAACAAAAAACATTTAATATCTACTAATAGTGATGTATTATTATTTGCATTCACAAAATTTATATGTATATTTTGCAAGTATCAATGTTCGAAAAATTATATTTACAAATAATACAATATTATCTAAAAAAAGGCGTCAGCGATGGCTATGAAATGAAGATTGCTAACATTTTATATGTTAAATTATTCTAAAATTTTTGATTTTCTTGGGATTTTTAGGTTCGGGAAAAACGCTGATTAAGTTTTCATTTGGGTTTTCATTATTTTTATTTGGTTTAAAAAAAACGTTTCGGCTAACTATAGCCTTCACAGAGTTGTGTCATATGAGAAAAATAGTGTCGAATATAATCCAAAAAATTACATATACAATATAATTTACACCTCATAATGTTTACTGCAATTAATAAACTAATATAATCTTATCAAAAGATGACCACATATTTTTTAAAATTATTATTCTTAACACTAAAATTATCTACATTGACTATGGGTACGCAGTAAACATTATGTGCGTGGTGTGAATATTTTATATGCAATTTTTTGGATTATATTCGACACTATTTTTTCATATGACACAACACTGATGGAGGCTATAATGTTAGCCGAACCGTTTTTTAAACCAAATAAAAATAATGAAAAACCAAATGAAAAATCAATCAGCGTTTTCCCGAACCTAAATTCAAGAAAATCAAAAAATTTAGAATATTTAGAATCAAGGTTCAAGAATATCAAATTTTCCAAGATTGTAAAATTCTAGTTAATTATTTTATGTGTACAGTTATTTAGGGAATGTCATCGATGTTTATTTCCAAGCCAACTAGACGCCGATTTTTTTTCGATGATACAGTATAATTCTTACGTAAAATGTAAATAACATTAGACCAATTAAAACAAAGAAATATGAATTTCTTAGTATTTTTAGTAACACCTTTATTCTTAAAACTTAATTTTGTATTATGCAAATATACAAATTTTATTGTTATTTTATTCATATTGTATTCAGCCATCACTTAAATATTTGATATTAATTTGGTATTATAAATAATCAATACTATTCATTAAAAATTACTGAACAAATATATGTTATGCTTAACATACATTATATATTATCAAACAAAAACACATTCTTCTTTTAAACTGTATCAGTCTTGTCTTTACAAAAATCTTTTTAAAATTTGAACTCAAAATAATAATCTTTTCATGATCTCTAATACACATATTCTTTACTTTTCCCTAGATCATAATACCTACTTACGTGTTTGAATCTATCGAAGCTGAACCAGCAACACTTGGAGTGGAGATTCCACAATATGAATAAAATAAACATAATTGTCCAGTTTTCATTAATACCATCATGGGAGAATATTATTTTTAAATTTATTAAAGATATTTTCAATAAAATTCTCTTGATTTATAACTCGTACCCACTTTTCTTGCTCTTCCGGACACTTTAGGCTGCCTAGTATAATAACTATCCTTTCCACCAGGAACACAACAAAGATGAGGCATAGCACCAATAACACACTCCACTTAAGCTTTATTGATGAATTGTTAGAGTCTTAAAAAACACACACAAAAATCACGATAAGTAAAAATGTATGGGCACTTTTAGGTTAAATCACTTGCACAACGTGTAATTTTTAAAATTTCTATTTTTTTATGCGAAACCGAGAGTGACCATATATCTGGTAGTAGTTTATGTCACTTCAACACCAAAATAATTAGTTTTTTGCACTACAATAATAAATAATACCAAAAATCAAAGAGTTAAAACCAAAAATCAACCGATAAAATATGAAATGGAATCTAACCCAATATCTAAGTATGTACAGCTGATGAAGTAAACAAAAGTCCGCCCGTAGGCTGATCTTTTAATAGAAGGCACTGAGTGAGCAGTTACCAACCAGTGATGCGTGGCTGTCTTGGCCGACGGATGGTTGGGCTGTTGACGGAATTGTCGAAATACATCGAAAAAATAGCGAAAAAGCAAAATACGTATTTAAAATTGTTGAGTGAAACATGTATTTTCTTAGATTGAAAGTAGTTCGTAAAGTGGCGGTAAGAGACAATAATTCTCAACATTTATTCATTCAGAAAGATATTCAAAGTAATGTGTAATGTGTGCTTTTCAAGGTGTTTTGTAAATCAGTGGTTCAAATTGTGATGAAGCCTATACGAAAATAATGTGTTAAGTTAAAAATGGGGACTGTTATTTTAGCAGTTTTTATAATAGCACGTACAAGTAAAGCAGCACAATGAAGTGTATTTAGTTAAGTGTGTATCGAAAAAGAGCAGTATCGAAAAAAAACTGTCGCAGTTACATCGATCTGTCATAAGTATCTTTTTAATGTTGGGTAAGTTTTTTTAATTTAACTTTTAAACATTTAACTTTTAATTTATTTTATGTAATAATATCACAATCTTAAAAATGTAATGCATCTCTGCAAACTCCTCAGGTGTTGTGATTTTATGACTTACTTGTAAACATATACTTTCTTGTCCATATGGCAACACAGTGCGTCGAATTAACTGAAATCCGGGCTTGATCCGGGTAATTGAATGTGGTTGGCAATATCTGCCGGCGGTTCTCAAAATGTTGCGATTATTTTTTAAAATTTTCAAAGTTAAATAACTCAGTTATTTTCAATTTATTTTAAAAATGGTAAAGAGAAAATATGTTTATTTTGACCAGATCTACCACCTCTTAAAATATCTGCACTCATTTCTGAGACACCCTGTATATATCCAAAAAAAATAGTTCCATGACATTGAATAATTTTTATAGGCCCTCAAAATAGCTTTAATTTGGAATAATTTTAAAGTGCCAATTGATGACGTATGAAAAATACGCCCAATCACATTGCAGAACCGTGCTCGTGCGCCAGCCAACAACTGGCAACATTGCGATTTGATATGACGTGCATGTTGAATGATAAATTTGAAGTTAAATTTTTTGTTTACTCCGTTTGTGAAAGCTTGTAATCAAATTTTAAGTTTTAAATTGTTATTTTTTGATAATTTGTTCCATCATGGTCGTACCAGAACCTGGATTCGAAAAGGCGTCATTTGATAACCTTCCTAAAGTTGACGCCGAAATGGTTAACGACTTTTTTCTCGATTTTTTTAGTGCAGAAGCTAAAAATGCAAAAACAACAAGGTAAGTTCAACTAAATTATTAGCGTATAAAATTGGTGTACCTACTTATTTTTTTTGCAAAAAATTTATTTTTACCTCAGTGAACTTAAATCTTATTGTTTTCTTTCTTAATTCTAGGGCACAAAAGGCATCGTTTGGTGACAATGCAGTAGGTTATGTACAAGTGAAGAAAGAAAACCATTTATGTATTATATTGGCAATAATAACTCCCGAACATAAGGTTCGACAAAAAGAGTATTCTATTGAAGCCGTTGTAGATATGACAGAAGAAAAGGTGATTAGCTGTGAATGTAAATATTGTGCTGCTAGTAAAGGTAGGCATTACAATTTAGTTTGTAAAAGCCTCTATTTTTTGTCTAAATTTAATTTATTGATCATATTAAATTTACTTATTAAATGTCTTTTTTTTTGCAATTGCTTTCCTTTTGTGGGTGCATCGAAGAAGTGAAGAGCCTGCTGTCACTTGCTACTGCAAAAAAATCTGCTTTCGCCAAAATAGGCGATGCAAAAATGGATCTGCAATCTGATCAATAAACCAATACCACCACTTATTCCTCGAAATAGACAGTATGTGGAAAGTATTGTTGCTCAGGCAAAAGATCTGAAATGAAATATTTTCTTTCACTTGGGAGTTGCAGAAAAATCAAATTTGTCAATGTTTCAGCTTATGATAACATATAAAGAGAATGAAACAGCACCATCACCTGAAAATTTCATTAACTTTATTCCAGTCTGTCATGACAGTTTTGTGCAGAGAAGCTGAAAAATATACAAGAGCTCAAAGTAAATCGACTGAATGGTACGAACTGCGTTTTGCTCGAATTACAGCTTCTAAAATTTACGAGGCATCAAGATGCAAAACTAAAGAAGGTTCGTTAGTGGAAGCGATTTTGGGTGGAGCAAAACATATAGAAACGGATGCAATTAAAAGAGGCTTATTGTTGGAAAGTGAGGTTATATTCCAGATGGAAAAACAAAGAAACATTAAAATAAATAGCAGAGGTTTTGTATTAAATGGGGACTATCCTTTTTTAGGAGCTTCCCCAGATGGAATAAGCAGTGATTATTATATAGAGGTTAAATGTTAATCGGCCCAAAAAAAATATAATAAATTATGTGGAAAACCGTGTTTTAAAACCAAAATATTTTCACCAGGTGCAGCTACAAATGATTTTGCAAAAAAAAGGATATTTTTTAGTGTTGCTGCACCAAACTTCGAGGAATCCCGGAGTGTAGATATATTTGAAGTAATCCAAACAAAAATGGAGTGGATAGTGATAATCCTGACGTTTATCCGCCGCGTACCCTAGTGGGGCATGCGTAACGTGACCATACGTCCCGTTTTGAACGGGACCGTCCCTTTTTTCGACCGTCTGTCCCGGTGTCCCCGAAAGACGCTTCGGGACGCCAAATTGTCCCGTTTTTCAAGAAAATACTAAAAATCCAACAAACCAACAAATATTGATTGGTGCAGACCATCCGTGTCTGAAAGATATATGAGCCCATCGGGAGAGGCGCCTCCCTCCACCTTCATCTTCGCGTGTACCAGATGCCAACGGGCACCCGCTTCGCTGTACCAACCCTACTACTACTGGAATCTGCTAAAATCAATTGGTGTGCCTAGTTGTACGTGCGCTGTGTGTAGAATAAAACACCGATACAGCCCCTACACCATGCCCCGTCGCCGTCCCCTGAGCCTCAGCCATCTCCAAACACTACGCCAGTCCCAAGTGAATTATTCGTCCGACCACCGACACCCGAAGTCGCACGTGCGCCCATGCCCATCAAACCTGGGCGTCCCACGCCAGAAATGAATCCCCCGCAGCCTGGATCATCCGGCGTCGGGAGGCGAAGGGCTCTCACAGCTCTTAATCCCATCGGCCATGGACGAACATCTCCCCGCGAACCAATAACCCCCGGCGGCAGCAACTACTACGGCCAATGGCGGACAACCGCCGATGGCACTCGCTGGTTTTCCGGCGCCAAAACCCGGGTGGGCTGCTGCAGGACGAAGAGCAGCCAAAGTGCGGGGAAGACCGTAGTGAATCTGGTGAACAAAAAGAGTGAGTGCCGGTTATATATGTTAACGTATCATCATCATCATCATCATTAGCCGTTTGTCGTCCAACTTTGGACATAGGCCTCTCCCAATTCTCGCCACCGATCTCTGTTCTGTGCTGTGCGTGTCCAATGTAGTCCTGCCACTCTTTTGAAATCATCGTACCATCTCATTTGAGGGCGTCCTCTCATTCGCTGTCCTAAGTATGGCCTCCATCGCTGAATTACCGTGTTCCATCTATTGTCGGATTGTCTAACTGTATGTCCTGCAAAGCTCCATTTCAATCGTGCCGCCCCTGGCTGTCACATCCTCCACTTTAGTCCGCATTCTTATCCAGCTATTTCTTTTTTTATCCTTAAGTTTAACTCTAACATAATTCTTTCCATGGCTCTTTGGGTCCTCGACAGTTTTTCTATATTTGCCTTTGTAAATGTCCATGTTTGGCAGCCGTATGTAAGGATTGGCAATATGCATTGGTTGAAAATTCTGCTTCTCAAATATTGGGGGAAATTTCTGATTTTGAGTATCCACGATAATTTTCCGAATCCAGCCCATGCCAACTTGCTCCGCCTAGTAATTTCGGCCGTTTGGTTTTCTTTTCCTAACTTGATCACCTGTCCCAGGTATATGTATTCTTTAACTGTTTCCAGGGGGGATCCGTTGATCGTCACGTTGTTTTGATTTTCGGTATTTGTCATCATTTTTGTTTTATATTTATCTTTAGGCCAACATTTTCCGATGCGGTTGTCAGCTGGTTTACCATTGCCTGAATTCCCTCAAAAGTGTCAGTAATTAGGACGACGTCATCGGCAAATCTCAAGTGATTTAGTTTTTTGCCGTTTACATTAATGCCATATTCCGACCAGTCCAGTTTTTTAAAAACATCTTCCATTGCCAAGGTAAACAATTTTGGAGATATCACGTCTCCCTGACGTACTCCTCTCTTAACTTGGATGGGTCTAGTAGTATCTCCTATTTGTATTGTCATTGTTGCGTTCTTGTATATATTATGGATTAAGGTTCTATATCTTGAATCAATTCGGCAGTTGTTCATTGCTTGTTCTACAGCCCATAATTCGACACTGTCAAAGGCCTTTTCATAGTCCACGAAAGCAACGTTAACGTATAGTTATTAGTATTATAGGAAGTGTAGGGTTTTTCTGTGTTAAATAAGAGGTACAAAATACCTGATAAATAAGCTCCCTTTTCAACAAGCCAAATTAGTACAAAAGCAGGAACCAATAATGGACTCATATGGTGGAATATAAGAAGAAGAGTGTTTTTGTAGACGCCAACGGAGGAATAGGCCGAAAATAAAATAAATGAAGATTATTTTCGGACCCAAAATTGGCGGTCGCTACAATATCTCGTAATATCCTTGAATTATCTTAGCCATAATCTCTTGTAACTTGTTGGAAAAATCCTCCGTTGTTTGCAATATTTAACTCTTGCATTATTTTTATAGATACCTTTCCTTTTCTTAAAATTTTATTCAATAAGGATATGGCAAATAAATGATTTAAAAACGCATAAAAACCAATTAATTTTTAATAAGAAACCTATACCCAAGAAAATCACAATTGAAATATTGAATAAAAGTTTAAGAACAAGAAAGGTATCTATAGAAATAATGCAAGGGTTAAATATAAGGAAGGAAGGATTTTGCATAAGCCTCATCAGCTGCTGAGCCTTTTAGCGGCATAACGCAAACAACTGAGGATTTTTCCAACAAGTTACAAGAGATTATGGCAAAGATAATACAAGGATAATACGAGATATTTCCAGGACTTATAAGAAACTTTCAAAACAAGGAAATCGAATAAATTATTTAAGATCGCCCAGAAATCATTTAATTTTTAACAAGAAACATATACCCAAGAAAGTCATAATTGAAATATTCAATAAAGGTTTAAAAAAAATAAAAATATCTATTAAAAAATAATGTCTCAGATTTGACTCTAAAGCCTATGGGTCAAACCCGTTGGGAAAGTCGTATTAACGCGGTCTCTGTATGTTAACGCCTATCGTTTTATATTATTTTTTATTATTTTATACTATTTCTGTTTTTCTACTTATTTTTATTTTATACTGTTGTATTTTATATTATTTTTTTTTGTTTAATATAGTTCAGTTAAATTTTGTAAATGTAGTCAACGCAATTATTTGTTTTGTACGATGTAGAAGCACCAATATGCAACCTTCAAATTTCTAACTGGGGGCTGTAAAAATTATTGTTTGTGTAGCACGGTCCGTAGCGTTCTCTTAAATATAAGTTGTAAATTAGAGTTATTTGTCTTTATTTTACAACAAGCAAAAGAAAATCCAGCGTAATAACATCTGGTCCTTCGAGCCGGATAAAAAGTTAGTGAAAATCTAAAGAAAATCATCAAAAATCAGCGAAAAACTTAAAATTCCAGTCAACCAGTGCTATTCATCAAGGTATCGATTTGTCGCTGTAAACCTTTGTCTGGCCTGTTGGATCGTCCGAGACGCCGCGCCGGTGGTATTTTAAAAGCAGTGATATTGCATCTTTGTCGCTCTCGATACGGTTCGGTGAGTCCTTTCTTGTGACATGTGTAGGCAAGCAGGGGCAATTTCCTAAATCGTCTCCAAGGCAGGGCGCCAGGGGCTCTTGACCATCCTAGCTCCCTAAATCGGATCCTGCAGCCCTGCTACGAAACACGTGTGTAGAGTGATTGGGCCAATTTCTGTCAGTTCATTCATAACCAAAAAGTGCGGAACCATATATACCGAAAAGTGCGGAACCAAGATATACCAAACTCCATTTCAAGCTCTCAAAATGCACCACCTTTTTCTGTCAATCCGGATGAAAATTTTGATCGAAGCGGCACCCTCATCCTTCCAAAGTTCTGAACATTTATTCAGTGAAGTACCAACAGGATATGAGCAATGGGATGTATTTCAGATTTACCTATCTCAATTATAAATGAAAGTATATAAGTCATTGACACAAATCTCTGTGAAGACCCAGGCAATTGCTATCATGATTAACCAAACCAAACCAAAGCTTAGTTACGCGACATTACAGCCAGTAATTGGTAAATTGCTATGATCAACCATCTACCTCTTATGCAAATTGCTCTAGAAATGACAATGAGCAAGAATGTTTTGAATGTGATTCGGACTACTCAGTGCAAGATCCCAATTAGATCGTATCCCATTCTTCATCAGATGAGGAAGATATCCCATTAATTTGTATTAAAAAGAAAATGGTCAATAGAACCAAGGAAAGCGTTTTCGTATCAGAAGAATATACAGAGAAAGGGGAAAAGAGAAAGCGAAGACGATTAGAAGAATCACTATCAGCAAGAAAGGCAAAACATCGAACAAATCAAGCTAAAACACTCTGTAAAAACACCCTGCGTCGCATAAAAGATACTTACCTAATGATCTGAGTATTCAGCTTTTGTTTTCGGATTTTAGAGAAAAACACCCACATTTTGTGTGTTCTTACGAAGTGTATCGAAATGTCGTTACTAAAGAAATGAAGATCTCATTTACCAAGCTCGGCCACGAAGAGTGTGAGCTTTGCGAAACGTTTTTGCTCCATAACCCTGAACATACAAAAGAGAATCCTAGTACAGATTGTGAGGAAAGTTGGAAAATCGACATGACAAAAGCTGTTGAAGCACGTTCATCCTACAAATTGGTCATCCTACAACAACGAGGTTTCAGTACAAAATAATAATACTGCATACTTTTCTGCGGATCTTCAGAAAGCGTTAATGCTTCCGCGACTTGATATGTTCAAGAAAGCAATTTTTTGTCCACGAATAATTGCCTTTAATTATAGTTTCGTTCCCATAGGAACATAAAGTTCCAGTAATATTACTTTGCCATGAAGGCCTCACCGGAAGGTAAAAAGAAGACATTGTAACCATGTAATACAATTTTATTTAGGAAATGAGAGATTATGAAAACATTGTTCTATGGGTAGACAATTGCTCATCGCAAAATAAAAATTGGACCCTTTTCAGTTTCTTAAATCATATTGTAAACTCAGCGAAA